CAATGGCCAAGCTTTGATCCGGAGGGAAACTGCGTAGATCTCAGATCTGATCTCTCTCGAACTCCTGCCTTATTTGGCGTGGATGATCGCCAAGAACCAGATCTGATATCTCCAAGTCCTCAAAGTTCCAAAGCTTCAATCTTTTTAAGTTTTGAGCCTTCAATCCAGCAGAGCTTCGCCGTCCAAAATTCCAACCTTTTACAAATGAACCAACCTCTCCTATTTATAGGCACTCAGATCTGTGCCTTGGCACAGATCTGGGTCGGCCACAGGTGGCCGGCCACCTATGGGTGGCTCGGCCCCCGGGTGTGGCGCCGTTGTGTCCGTTGTCCGGTTCCGCGCTTCGTTGTTGATCTGGACTTTGGTTTGGCAGTCCGAATCCCAATATGGCAGTAAATCCGCCTCGGTGTTTGAGTTCAAATCCGTTCTATGGTTGGATGACTCGTTGACTCACCGAACCGTTAGCTTGATTCCGCGTGCGAGTGGATGTATTCTATTGTTTGCGTACGGTTCGTTAGCCTCGTCGCCTCGTTAATCCGCTTCGTTGCGTGTCACTTGGCTTCGGTGTTGTGGACTGACGCTCGTGTTTAGATACGTCACCCGATGGTTTGTCGGTTTGTGCCGAGCTGTGCTAAGGGACCTATAAATAGTTTTATATGCCTACATCTTTCTTCTTCAAGAGTTCTAAAATTCATCCTCCTCTTAAACCCTTAAACCTTCCTTCTTCAAAGCTCTTATCTTCTTCCTTCTAAGCTTTCATCTTCTCCAAGGCTTCAAGCAAGACAAGTTGGGTTTGGAGGATCTTGGGCTTCATCATCAACAAGGCTTCCTCTTCAACACTTCCCCAAGCTTTGTTAAGAACCCCTCTCCCTCATGGCTTTAATTTGATTCCCTTCTTTTGAACTCTTTAAAATCCAAAACCCTAGTTTGTTGATTTGGGGAAAAATCAAAACTTGATTTTTTTTGTTGAGAGGTGGCTGAAATTTTGAACTTGTATTCCCTCACCTTTGATTTTACTACTTTCTTAATTTCATGCATATATATATGGCCAAAATTTGGATGTGAATTGTGTGCAAAATTTAGGGAAATTTGAGGGGGTTTTTGGCCGAAATTTGAGGGGTATTTTTGTGCAAATTTGAACCGAAATTTGAGGGGGGTATTTGTTTAAGAATAGGACTAAAATTTGAGGGCTTTTGTGTAAAAATAGGATTGAAATTTGAGAGGACTTTTGTGTAAAAATTGGGTAGAAATTTTGGGGGCTTTTGTGTAAAAATGCGGGTGAAATGTTGGGGGCTTTTGTGTAAAAATGGGGCTCAAATTTTGGGGGCTTTTGTGTAAAAATGGGGCTGAAATTTTGGGGGTTTATGTGTAAAAATAGGGCTGAAATTTTTGAATGTTTCCCCCCTTGTATATATGAATTTTTGTCATAGGAATTTCTTGTGTCGAACCCATATATGCACGATTCTGAAACTCAAATTAATATCCATGTTTCTAATTTCGGACGATTCCGTGAGCTTGTGAATCAACATGTTGAGGTGGTCGAGACCCTGTATTTGACTTTGCGACCTTCAACTCGATTCTCCCTTCTTTCACCTTGAATGAGATATATATTACGTAGGTTTAATTGGATTTTTTAACTAAAAAATCCTAAATTTTAGAATTTTAGTTAAATATCACAATTTCCCTTTTGATTATTGGATTGTTGGTTCGCCAATCTCGACATATCTGAACCACTGATTTCTCTTACAGATTAGCTATGTCGACGAAGAGATCACGTACCGCGAGAGGTCGTTCTGCTACCCAATCACCTGAGCCCGAACCTTTCAGTTGCACCGTTATAACGTCGTCATTTCTCTTATTTACGAATTCAATATTAATATATCTTACTGCATATTGTATCTTGTTAGACCCTAGAGTGGGGGTGATTAGGGTCTTATGCTAATCTAATCCGATTTTATGCTAATTAAAATTAATTAATAAGTTATCCTATCAAAAATGAAATACCACAAGATATATGAGCTAGGATAAGCAATGTAAACAATGAGACATATCCTATATGATGAATATATATATATGCAAGGATATATAAACTAACACAAGATGATATATCCTACCAAAGAGATATACAATATAATAAATGTATATGCAAGGACATAAAACTAATACAAGGGATAAACAATATGAACTAAATAGTGGATCATATAAATAATGATCTATGGACAATGGCGATATAAGATATGAACATAAATATAAATGAACGCCAAAGCACACTCAAACACACTATATGATCACGGAGTTCGGACCTTCCGTCCTACGTCTCCACTCCCCACTCCCGGGGAGAAATCCACTATCACAACCGAGTTTTCTACGTTCACCCGAATAACGTTTACACCTCACAGTATCGGTTTTCAACGCTCACCGAACAACGTTCACTCATCACACTCGATTTTCTAGTTCACCGAAAAATTCACAACACACTCGGTTTTCTAGCTCACCGAAAACCTTACACCACTCACAATGTAACAAATATAATTTTGTTCTCTACAATAGATGAGAACTCAATTAAGCACAAACTCAATGTTACAATCTCTCACAATCCTAATATACTATGTATGCAAATACAATAAGCTCAAGTGGGTGTGTGTAACAATGAGATAATATAATCAAATCTAAACTCAATATAAAAACTAGCTTTAAAGAATGATAATCAAATAACTAAGCAAATGTAAAGCTAGATAGAGTTTAGAAAACTTCTCCAATAGATGACAAGATGGAGAGATGGAGATTGGAGCCCAAACAAGAAGATGATCTCCTCCACTTGTGAAAACAATCTTCAAACCAAACAAACACTAAAACACACTTAAACCCTTGTTTAAAACTCTTTAAACTTGTTTAAAACATTTCTTGAGTACCCTTAGAAGTATGAGGGCATGGAGTATATATAGGCTCATGAAACAAGCCCAAAAACCCAAGAAAACCAAGCAAAAAGACAAAAAAACGGATATATCAAAATCTGGAAAATATAGCCGTTATGCTATAGTAACCACGTCCAGAGAGTTTGGCGATCGACCGTACCGGTCGACCGCGGGTACTGTAGCACTGCGTTTCAGTTTTGTAAAATCAATTAAAAATAGTAAAACAGCTCCAAAAAATATAAAATTTTGTGGGAAGGTTATAGACCTGTAGAATAACATTTTAGAGAAAGAATGTCTGAAAAAGAATTTCCCAGGTGAGAGAAATAAATATTTGAACACAGATTTACAGTTTCTGAAAAACTGCTGACATACACGATTTTGTAAAATCAATTGGGCACAGTAAATCAACTCCAAAAATAGTAAAATTTCGAGGGAAATTTATAAACATGTAGATAAACATGTCAAAGAAAGAATTTCTTGAATACCACTTCCCATTTATGAAAACTCATCTGTTTTGTAAAACATGCACGAACATGTGCACTAACAAAAACATGATTTTGTAAATTCCATTAAACATAACAAATCAATTCTAAACTTGATGAAACTTTACAAAATATTTATAAACATGAAAACAAACATGTTACAAAAATAAAATTTTCATTTTCATTTCTCAATTGTGAAAACTCATTATTTTGTAAAAACATGCATGAATATGAATTTGTTAAGAACATGTTTTTGACAAAAAGAGTTTAAACGCATATTGAAACTTTATGAAATGTCTTCATAAACATTATAACACATGAATATAAAGTAAACATGGTCAATAAAACAATATCACAAAGTTTTCTCAAAATAGCTCATTTTGTGAGAAAATCCAATATTGTGTGTGTATATGATATTGAGCTTAGAGTATTAAACACACATAATATTCCGCTAACCTCCATTGGATATGATCGTTGAAGCTCTATTCCATCCATCCTCCAACTCGTTGTTTGTCTATAATAAATAATAAAACACAAATACTAGACAAACGACATTAGTGGTAAATTGTTTGTTAAACATCATCAAAACAAGAAGGCCAACAATCTCCTCTTTTTTGATGATGACAAACAATTTACAAAAAGAAATATATGCATGAAGGAAATGAATGTATAATTTATAATTCACATGCATATAAACAAGAAAGAATATACTCACAATATTTCTCCCCCTTTGACAACATCAAAAAGGGGAGAAAATGATGAAGAGAGCAAAAGCTCCCCCTATCAATAAGCATAGTTGAGTATAAAAACAAACATAGAATAGGGAATAGCTCCCCCTATCAAAATGCCATATAAAATATATGCAATAAATAGATCATGGCAAACATGTGAGCAAGCATTCATGAATATGCTAAATATCACTCACATACAAAAAGATAACGAGAACACATAAATATCTCAATATGAAAATAGTGTCTCATTAACAAAAACATAAAGATCAAAAATAGATTTATGAAATCAAAAGAAAAGGAACATGAAAATTATGTAAAAGGTTTTCAAATGAAAACAAACCAACCAATGAAATCATAAATCACAAGTAAATCATGTAAGAACATAAAACCAAATCATCATTGATTTTAAAAAATCAAGAGAGGCAACCATATCTAGCTCTTGAGCTAGTATCAATAAATAAGAAATGTGTATGCTTGGTACTAAGTACAAGTTTTTGTGTTTGGTAGTGAGGTGACATACTCCCCTCCACTCATTGAAATTGGGGACCACATTCACATGGGTTGAGGAGTGGTTGAGAATTGGAATGAGTGGATGGGACACTACCAAAAAATGGGTCTATGGGGACGGTTCGTGGGGCGCGGTTTAAAACCGTTCCCTTTGCTTCCTAAGGGGACGATTTTGTGACGGTTCTAACCTTTACGAAAAAAATTTAAGACAACGCTTTAAACTAAAACGTTGGGCTTGACTTAGGCTCAGACAAAAGTTTTATAATAAGCTAAGGGGACGGTTTAATTTTGTGTTAAGGGGACAGCTTTATTTTGGGCTTTTTATGTTAGCGCCCAAACTTAAAAAAAAAACAATTTTAATTTTGTTTCCTATGACCGTACCTCTCATCTTTCACCCGATCAAAATCCCATCGAAGAAACCTAGGGCTTTTTCTCGTTTCCCACTTCCGCTGCCTCCTCTCCTCGACGGAGCAAAACCGCAGCCTCCTCTCCTCGGCTCCCCACTTCTGCCGCCTCTCCTTCTCGCCGACCTTTTCGCCGTCGTTTCCCTCCCCTCGTCGGTTCCTCACTTTCGCCGCCTCTCCTTCACTTTCCCTCGTCCGTCAGCCCTTTGTTCGTCGACTTCAAGGCCATCCCTCTCTAGCATCCAGTGATTGGGTACTTATCTCTCTCCTTTTCAATCATCAAACTCTAGGGTTTCAAATTTTCCTTTTTTATCTATTTAACAAAATTGAAATTTAATTTTATAAATTAAGGCTTTGTTGTCTTGGTTGATATTTGATTTTAAGCATGTATATTTCAATCCTTCTTGCAGCTTCTTCAGTTGCAGAAACAGTTCAAATTGATTGGTGCGGGTGCTTCGGTTCTCAATCTTGGATGCGCTCCCGGTGCTTGGCTTCAGGTATTCACTTATTTATTTATTTATTTATTTAATGAGAGAAATTGCTCAACTGTGCTATATTGGATTTAATTTCAAGGTGCAGCTAAAAGAAATATCACTAAAGTTGCTTCCTTTGGTTAAGAATTCTGGAAATAGTACCGAAAAGATCATTTCTTGTCTAACATTCCAGCCACTAAACCTAGATATTTGCTAATCTATCCTTCCGTTCTATGTAGATTTGTGGGGGTAAATTTTCAAATATGGTTGGTTTCGGGTTATATAGGTAAAAACCCCTAAAAGATATTTAAAACTGAAACCTTTGCTAAATTGGTTTTACTTGCTTCTGTTAAAATGAGGTCCAGTTAATTTTCTTCCGTAGTGCATGTTTAGGTGGCTTGTCAGAGTTTAGGGCCACCGAAGAAGGGTGGGGCTGTTATCGGTGTTGATATAAAGGTTGGTGACATTGGTAATATAAAGGAAGGGATTAAGAGGAAAGGGATTTGGTTTATGTTTGTGATTTTGGGTTTTCTTTCTACTGATATGCTATGTTGGTTGCAGAGCAGAATGTTAAGGTTCCATCCCATCACTGTGACTCTAGAGTACGAACAGTTTGTGCTGATGTTATGGAGCTAATGAAGAGCCAGGCTAGAAAACTGTCTCCTCAGGTTTGTTTGTTTTCACTTATATATGACATTGATTTTTAGATTATAGCGCCTCTAGAGTACGTTTCAGTTTTGTTTGCCTATCAGTTGATGCAAGTAACTGTGAAAATCTTGGTTTTGTTTGTGTATAACATGTGCTTGCTACAGGTGTGATGGTTCAATCCAAGCACCCAGCCAACCAGCATGGTCATTAACTTCTCTGAGTAGCCAACCTTTTTGCACAATGTCATCAAGTTGAAAACAATACTCTCACTGATGGTAGAAAAGATGGGGGTGGGTGGGGATCTCTTATAGTTGTCAATTTATTTATACAGATAATATACTTTCCTCTTCATTCAGGTAACTAACTATTGCTTCATATAACTTGGAATTGTTTTATGGTGCATGACTACTGTTCCTTAACCTTTCTAGTCTGTCATGCAATTTGTTCATATAACTTGGAACTGTTTTATGGTATGTGCTTATAATTCTTGTCCTTTTTAATTGATATAATCTATTTTTGGGTAATTTGATATTGTCTGCTTTTGTAGATGAGAATGGAAATGAACACATGGGGGTGGTTGCATCAATGTGGCCAATATATGGTCTTTGCCATTAAACAAGAGAATTGAGGTAGAATTTAACAACTTGATACGATTAATTAATAGCCCGGGCGCCTTATTATCATGATATAGTTCTGGTGTTGCTGCAAAACATAATCTTTGTCCGCTCGGATTTAATGATTGGAGGCTTGTGCCTAAAAGATTGAGAGCAGAAGCTGTTGGAATAGTTTGAGTATCAATCTATAACTTTCTATCTCAGAGCAAATTTCTGCTTCCAAATGGGAGGGAAATTAATGGACTAATACTTTCAATGATCGGAAAAGCATTGAATAATCAGCAAAGGATTGGAATCATGAGAAGAAGCATTAGAACTGAACCCTCTTGATGTTGCTCGCAAATATTGGATACAATTTGTTGAACACTCATTTTCTAAAGAATTTTAAGGTACCTTTCCTTTTAAATTTAATTCAATGCACTTCAATTTGTCTCAATTTATTAGTTTTAATAGTTTGTGTCATTGGTAGCCTGAGAAGCGTATAGTAGATTACAAGTTTGAGATCCACTGAATAATTGTTAGTATTCTTTTAATACAGAAGTCATGCTAAGATTTTCCTCAACCCTCACCACCTTGAACACAGTTTTTTTGTAGTTAGTGGTTTTTGCTAACGTCAAATTTCCAGAAATTAACAGGTGAATATGCACGATTAACAGAGTATTTGTTTTATGAATGTGACCAAAAAATATGTGAAATTATATGAGTCTATATACTATTGAAGTAATTAAAAATGTTGTAATTAATTAGATTTTGGGGACATATCAGAAGAGGTAGCAGCATCATCAACACAAGCTTATACTATCTGCAACTGCTTGACAAAATTAGAAAGAACTGAAAGAAAACATGAAAAAGGAACTAAAAAACCAATATGTATTTTTTTGTGCCAGTCATCATGGGTTGTGCTTGCTCTCACTGTTGATAATCACCGAGTTGTTGTTTCTTTGATGGAAGGCTCCTTAACCACATAGGGTTTTGCACAGAAAAAGGACCAAAGTCAAATTTTGGAAAAATGGAGTAGCAGTTTAAGTTTTAGATAGTTATAGCAATGGTTTTTTAGGCTTGAACCTGTGTACAGAAGTTATCGGATTTGGACTTAATTTCTGAACCTTGTCATTTGTCATAATTGCTCTAGAATTTTATTTAATTCGACTATAAGCTATGTTCTAAGTATCATGATGATTGCTGGCGGTATAAAAACTTGCAGGTCACATAAATATTTAGTGGATGCTGCTAAACATGGTGTGTTCAAAACCAGAAAGAAAAACAATTTCATTTGTCTGTGTGGTTTGTTATGAAGCCCAGGTCCTAAACCTATTGTCTTAAGGTTATAGAGTTGGGTTTGAGATAAGAATTGTATTTTAAGTTTTGAAATGATAGTTGATAGTGTAACTTGGCAAAAGTGGACAAGTAAAATATAAAAGTTTAGAAAAAGTGAGTGCCTAAAGCATCAGAGTTTGGTAACTGAAACGAAAAAGTAAGAAGGATATAAGACCTAGCAGAAAAGAAAGCACATAGAGGGCACTAAGTAGGAGAATGAGCTTATCATGTATGATAAAATGTTTTCTAAGTTGATGAACGCATTTGCTACTATACTCTCAATACTGATGCAATATTATGTTTTCACTCATCTTCATGTCAACTATTTATTTAAAACTGAGACTTAATATTCTCCCTATATCATTTCTTCATACACGCAAAACACTTATAACTGTTATGTTTTAGGTTGTGTGATGTGGTCCACATGTAGAGCCAGATTTGTCTTAAACAATTAGGAATTATGACGGACCTTTATCCTTCTACCATTCGTGTCTCTTCTATTCTACTTGTGCTTACTCTTAATTTCATTATATACCTAAATATGATCATCATGCAATTAGTTATGACTCTAAAGAGAGACATACAGTCCATTTCATTCTACTTGTGCTTACTCATCTTTTTATCTTGATGTATGCAGGAAAACATTTGGAGATCCATGCTTGTCGCTTTTTGGGGGATTTATTTGTTATGAAGATTAGAACTTAATCGTCTCAATAGAGACATTTTGACCTTTTGATTAAGTAGTAGCTCTTTGTTTTAATCATGGAGGATTTGTGATATGTGCTTACTTTGGTTAGTTTGTGTGTAAAACTTGTATAGAATTATCTCAATCCTATTGCTATAATATTGTTCTTCGTTGTAATAAATTGTTCATTATATTAAGGCTAAAGTTTGGTTAGTTTGTGTGTAAAACTTGGACTATTATTTCTTTGTATGTGAGGGACTGATGTGTGATATCTGGGTGATTTGTTTTGATCGGTAAAAAATGAAAACCATCCCCTTTGGTATAAAAATCGTCCCCATAGATCACAAACAAAACCGTTCCCATAGACAATATAACCGTCCTCTTAAGTCAAGCTCGAAACCGTCCCCCTTGGTATAAAAATCGTCCCCATAGAAACCGTTCCCCTTGCTATAAAACTGTTCCCATTGCTTAGAACCTAAAAACCGTTCCCCTTGCTATCAAACTGTTCCCGTTGCTTAGAACCTAAAAACCGTTCCCCTTGATATACAACCGTTCCACTTGCTCTAAACTAAGAACCGACCCCTTAGCACAACCGTTCCCTTATGGTATCAAGGATGATAGTTTACAAACCGTTGCACTAGAAGCATAAACCGTCACATTAGACCTAAGAGTACGGCTGTAAACGAGACGGATGTTGAACCGTCCCCATAGGCCTAGTGTGACGGTTTCCATGCCTAGTGTGACGGTTCACAACCGTCCCCATAGGCCTCAAATGTGGTAGTGAGATTTTAAGACATAATTTTCAAAACCAAGAAAAGAAAAAATAAGAACACTAAAATTCTTGGTTTAAAAATTAAATTTGTTTTGGTACCCAAGAACTCTTGGTACCAAAAGATTTAGGGACATGACGCATATCATTTAAACTCAAAGCCCTAGGGTTATGAACCTCTTGGGCATATGTGGTGCACGGGATCGGTCATAGTAATAATCACTCAAATGACCCTTCCGATTGCAATATGTACAATGAAAAGGAAGCATTTGCTTATGTTGACCATTAAAAGGTGCACGTGGAACATTTGCGTTCCTTAACAAGATTCAAATCATCATTATGCACAACATTATTGATAATAGAAGTAGAGCATGTATGGTTATCAAAATCATTTCTAATAGCTACTACTTCTAGCATGACATTATCTTTTTCATGAGTTAACTTAGCAAAGTTTGAAAGCAAAGAATCATGATCCAATTTTAATTTTTCATTGTTTTCTTTAAGGATCATATTTTCATTAGAAATAGTATCAAACTTAGATGCTAACAACTCATGATCGGATTTCAAATCCTCATGCTTGCTTTTTAAATCAATAAAATTTTTATGCAATAAGTTATAGGCATGCAATAATTTTTCACTAGCACAAGCAAGTTCATCACAAGATAAATCATTAGTGGTTTCAAACTCGCAAACCTCACTAGGGCTATCTCCTAGTGGCCGTGTGCATGATGCTCCATATGAACTTGAAGTCGGATCCTCCAAAGCTTGTTAGATCGCCTCAAAGTCCCCTTGATGTGCTTCTATAAATTTCCAAAGTTTGTAAGCACTATCAAAATGAACAAACTTGTTAGACATAGATGAATTAAAAGCATTTAGCAAATATTCTATCAAAATATTGTTCATTGTAAACATACGATGATCATTCTTATTCCACTTGGATTTCTCCAAAGTGGGCACAATATAAACATTATCTATAATTTCCCATAAATCAAAGTGTTTAGATCGAACAAAAAGTTTAAATCTAACACACCATTGGGCATAGGGGAAATTATCTAATCTAGGAGCAATATTGATGGCATAACCTAAACCATGCATATTCATAATATAAAAGGCAAGAAAGATACAAATAAAGCTCAAAACAAGATTAGCACAACAAGATAACTTAGATCTTTAACTCAAGGCGATTAGACCTTAAATCAAAGAGCACCAAGCTCTAATACCAATTGTTAGACCCTAGAGGGGGGGGGGGGGAAGAGCACCAAGCTCTGATACCAATTGTTAGGGGGGGGGGGGGGGGGTGATTAGGGTCTTATGCTAATCTAATCCGAATATATGCCAATTAAAATTAATTAATAAGTTATCCTAGCAAAAATGAAATACCACAAGATATATGAGCTAGGATAAGCAATGTAAACAATGAGACAGATCCTATATGATGAATATATATATATATGCAAGGATATATAAACTAACACAAGATGATATATCCTACCAATGAGATATACAATATAATATATGTATATGCAAGGATATAAAACTAACACAAGGGGTAAACAATATGAACTGGGTTTTCTACGCTCACCCGAATAACGTTTACACCTCACATTGTCGGTTTTCAACGCTCACCGAACAACGTTCACTCCTCACACTCGGTTTTTTAGTTCACCGAAAACTTCACAACACACTCGGTTTTCTAGCTCACCGAAAACCTTACACCACTCACAATGTAACAAATATAAATTTGTTCTCTACAATAGATGAGAACTCAATTAAGCATAAACTCAATGTTATAATCTCTCACAATCCTAATATACTATGTATGCAAATACAATAAGCTCAAGTGGGTGTGTGTAACAATGAGATAATATAATCAAATCTAAACTCAATATAAAAACTAGCTTTAAAGAATGATAATCAAATAACTAAGCAAATGTAAAGCTAGATATATATAAATGTAAAGCTAGATTGAGTTTAGAAACACTTCTCTAAAGATGACAAGAGAGAGAGAGGGAGAAGAGTTGAATGCCCAAACACCAAAGAATGATCTCCTCAAGCTCTTGTGAAAGTTTCTTCATAAACAAACTCTTGAAACAAACTTAAAAACCCTTCAACAAACTTGTAAAACTCTTTTTAAAACTCTCTTAAACATCCATGAGAAACAATGAAAGTTGAGGGCTTTTTATAGCCTCTTAAATCAGCCACAAACCCCCAAAAACCGAAAATATTTAAAACTAGCCGTTACTAGCCGTTATAGGCTGAAATGACCAAAATACCCCAAAATCCAGGGGTACTGTAGCACTGCGTTTTAGTTTTGTAAAATCAATTAAAAATAGTAAAACAGCTCTAAAAAATATGAAATTTTGTGGGAAGGTTATAGACATGTAGAATAACATGTTTGATAAAGAATTTCGGAAAAATCATTTCCCAATTGATAGAAATAAATATTTGAACACAGATTTACAGTTTCTAAAAAACTGCTGACATACACAATTTTGTAAAATCAATTGGGCACAGTAAATCAACTCCAAAAATAGTAAATCAACTCCAAAAATAGTAAACTTTTGAGGGAAGTTTCTAAACATGTAGATAAACATGTCAAAGAAAGAATTTCTTAAATACCACTTCCCATTTATGAAAAATCATCTGTTTTGTAAAATATGCACGAACATGTGCACTAACAAAAACATGATTTTGTAAATTCCATTAAACATAACAAATCAATTCCAAACTTGATGAAACTTTGCGAAATGTTTATAAACATGAAAACAAACATGTTAGAAAAAGAATTTCTCAAATTGAATTTCTATTTGTGAAAACTCATGTATTTTGCAAGTGTGTCCAAAGCATAAAAACTCAAAACCATGCATGTATATATATAACTATATATATACATAGAAATCAAATACGTGTGTGTATATGATATTGAACTTAAGGTACTTAACACACATAATATAAAATCTAAACTAGATTACCCAAGCTTGATCTTGATCTTCATTATAGCTCAACTTGGTACACATGCGGATGAAGCTTGAACTTGATCTTTAACTATGAATTGCAAGGCTTCAACCCAACATTCCACCAACCTCCATTTGATATAATCGTTATGGCGCAATCCATCCATCCTCCAACTACGTTGTTTGTCTATAATAAATAAGAAAACACAAATACTAGACAAACAATATTAGTGGTAAATTGTTTGTTAAACATCATCAAAACAAGAAGGCCAACACATCTTGCATCCCTACTTTGTTCTCCTTGGTGAGGCAATTGGGAAGAGCCGTCACCCTCTTTCGTGAGTGTGGCCACTTCATAGCCATGTTTCGCTTGGTCGAAGCATGCCTACATTAATTTAGGGTGATTTCAATGGTATAGAGCCGTCACCCTCCTTCGTGGGTGTGGCCGCTTCATAGCCGTATTTCGCTTGATCAAAATACGCCTAAATTAATTTAGGGTGATTTCAACAGTATAGAGCCGTCACTCTCCTTCGTGGGTGTGGCCGCTTCATAGCCGTGTTTCGCCTGGTTAAAGCACTCCTAAATTAATTTGGGGCGATTTCAACGATATAGAGCCGTCACTCTCCTTCGTGGGTGTGGCTGCTTCATAGCCGTGTTTGACCTAGTTAAAGCATGCCTAAATTAATAAGCACCTTTTCTTCTTTCTCTTTTTTTTTCTTGGAAACCCACATGGATGTATTACGTATGATATCCCCATTTTGTTCTCCTTAGTGAGGCAATCGGGAAGAGCCGCCATTCTCCTTCGTGGGTGTGACCGCTTCATAGTCATGTTTTGTTTTGTCAAAACATGCCTAAATTAATTTGGGGCGATTTCATATTGTATTACATTATGCGGGGCAAGGTATGTTGTCGCGTTGTTGTGCGACATCATACTTTGTCTTGTGCGCACGTGATACCGTTGAAATCGTCTCACTAATTACAGGATCGTGACTCTATCTCACCGCTTCGTGAGATGAGTTCAACGCCTGTTTAAATAACCAGGAAACTTCATAATTACATTTTGTAAATTTGCATTATTTGTTTCAGTCGAATTCCCTTCAAGGGCGATCAACACCAATGCGGTAGAAGGCCGCTCCGGTGAGGCTTATGCTTCTGCCAATGACCATATGCTCATTCCGGCTATCCCCTAATTTGCTCCGGGTGCACCTGAAGAACTTTATCAACTAATACGCAAAGGAGATCATTATACCTTATAGTAATTGATTACCGACGTACCTCTGGTTGAAGACATTAACTCCACTCATCCCCTAGAGAAGCCAGATTATCTATTTGGCGACTCTGTTGAGGACCCGATCATCGTGCCCCTCAAAGCTGAGCAATGGTTACATAAGGATGAAGGGGGCTTCTTATATATCCCTCATATTCCTCGTCATCGTTCATTGACTGAACTACAACGATAGGCTGTTAAACAAGAGATGTCGTGGGATCTG